GTGTTCTCCCATAGTATAAATCAGAAAGAGAAGGTACGACCTCTCTCATGACCTTAGGATGTGTGTGTATGTCAGAGTGCTCTGGAACGCACAGAGTCTTCACAGACTACTAAGGATCAGACATCCTATCAATATGCAATTGATTATATACCTCTAAATATTATTGATTATATGTTCCTAAGTACAAATGACAATCATGAAATATCACTCCAACACTTGGCTATTAGGAACATTTCATTTCTTTGCCCCATTATCATACCACAGCATAGTGGTATGCTGTTGTCATCATCTGTCTTTGAAGAGTCATCCTATCTGACCTTACGCGTCATACACAATGACTAAATTTGACATTTAATGACAGTCTTTTGCACTGTCAAAAAAAATGTTCACTTTCAAACACAGTCACAAAGAAAATAACCAGGAACGTTGGAGTGCAGTTATTCGCATATATAGCTTAATAAGTCTCTTATTTGCCCACGCAATTATTTTACTTGATTGAATTTTAACTGTGAGACTGGACAAGTTGAGAAATGCTTTCAAGCTAAATTAAACTACTTTAAATTGCTAGTTTAGTAGAGCTGTAAAACATTAATACTGGTAGCAGTGCAGCTGTAAAATAATTTTAGTAAGGCTAATCATACATGCCATAGGACCCATAATTTCACTCTCAAAATGGTGTGATAATGTAATTATGCAGTTTTATGCCAATTAGTTGTCAGAAAATAATGTAGTACAGTGCAAAATCTAAATTTAAATATAAATGTATGTTTTGTGGCTTGCTTTTATATTGTCTCAATAACTTTTGTGTTTCCTTGCTGATTCAGCCCCTCATTTTAGACCTCCATACAGCAGCTCATACCTGAAAATTGGCACAAGTAAAAGTGTTTTTTTTGTAGTTGTTTTGGTTTTTTTAAACTAGCTACTCTGTAATGGTCCTGAAAAATAGTGTGCAATCTTATCTATACTCACATAGTACTTCTGAATCTTTTCAGCAGTAGTGTGTGTGTGTGTGTGTGTGTGTGTGTGTGTGTGTGTGCGCTAGTGCATGCGTGCAACAAAAGTTAGACAGTGCATCATTACTGCAGTATGATTGGCATCCAGGACTGACAGTTCTCCTTTTGGGGGTGAATGCACACGGGCAGCAACAAGGTACATAAATCAAAGGCAGAAAAGCAGAGGTGTATAGAAACCACTTTGTACCTCATGTGGACATTCACACTATTGTGTATAGATTTGTGTTTTTGTGTAGTACTTATTGTTGCCTTTTCGTGTTCCCTTGGGAATCTCCTTCCTCATTATACATGGCCCTCCTGGGCCATGTATATATAGGAGTGTGTGTGTGTGTGTTGTCTAAAACACACAAGCAATACTGCAGAAACACATGTCAGCAGCTGTGTGTATTGCCTATTTCTGCCTCACTGTCTTCCTCTTCCTCCTTTTAGTTTTTGTTTGTCTCTGTCAATCTTGTCCCCAGGCAGTTTACTGGAGAGATTTAGACAACAGCTCTGCTTTCTTCAGCCAAGTCTATGACCTGGTGTGTGTGTGTGTGTGTGTGTGTGTGTGTGTGTGTGTGTGTGTGTGTGTGTGTGTGTACATGTAAGAGTGAGCAAAAGAGATTTTGTGCCCAATTAGTAGCTGGAGTGAAGTGCAATGCTAAATTATTTAGTTACTGTCTACTTGATCCAATGCTACCAAATTTGGGGAGAGAGTAATGGAGACAGTAAGATGAAAAGTTAATCTACATATGTAATATGTGATGACAGAATGCTTGCCGCTGATCTCTGCCATGCTTCAACCCTGAATTAAATGTCCCTCTGCCAATACCAGAGATGCGTGCATATGATGGCTTCTAAAAACTGACAGTGAGAATTAGAAAGCATGATCGTGAACTAGGCTTGGGCAATTGGACGAATATATCGACTATCGACGATAGGCTGAGCCCATCATCAATTGTTTTTTACAGGGATGATTTATTTATTTATTTGCCCCTGAGTAAGTTTGCTAATAACGATGGAGCTAATAGAAGCATCAACAGAAAAAAATTAATAAATAATAGCGCTGTTTTAACAGCACCCTCTTTCATCTGCGAGCAAATGCACCCTACTCAGAGTGCACCCAAATGCTTGTTGATGGAGCTGCAGAAGGTGGTGATAGCCGCATACTCAGCCGGATGGTGGACACGTACATGCTCATGCAAGTTAGTCGTGTTTGAGTACTTTGCTCGCACTATACGTCTGCACAAGCGGCACACCTCTTTGCCTCTTTCCTCTCTACCTCTTTCATCTGGTTTAAAGCCAAAGAAATCTCACATTGGCAACTTGATATTTTTTTAGTGCTGTCATCGTCAATGCGCCGTCATCACGACTAACGCGATTACCAATGAACCCATCTGGAGCACAGACTGAGTCGAAATCCCTGAAATGTCCCTGTCAACGCATTTCGGGCAGTTTGTCCAAAGTTTGTTCATTCTGCACTACAGATGGGTTGAGCACGTAAAAAATTTAAATTGTGTTAATTGTGATGACCACGTTAACGCTGCATTACCGCTGACAGCCCTAATTGTGGGGGGGAAATTAGTTTGTACCCTATTAATATTTATAGGCCAGTAGTCAAACCTATTTTTTATTTAAGTCTTCTACCACCACTGAGTCACCCTTGGACTTTCAGTCAGAGTATACATGCTTCACATGAGGAGAAAAGGCTGGAAGAAACATTGCCGTTTTTTAAGATAAAATGTAAGGAAGCAGGATCATACATACTAGTCTTATTTCCCTGAATTGTTACTTAACTATGATTGCATTGTTCTTCTTTTTCCTATAAAATCCTAATGGGATGTATTATTTCCACCTCTTTCTTTTTCTGGGTGTTCAGAACCTGCTGTCAGAGAAAGTTGACCAGATGATGGAGTGGTCTTCTCGGCGTTCGGTTATCCGGATGAATGGGGACAAGTTCCGTCGTTTTGTCAAGGCCCCACCCAGAAACTACTCTGTCATCGTCATGTTCACTGCCCTACAGCCTCAAAGGCAATGTTCTGTCTGCAGGTATATACACGTACACGCGCAGTACACCTACTGTAGGACACAATGTGCCATAGCTCTTACTGTAACAGCTATTCCTTTGTCCTTCCCGCTATTGCCCAAGATGTCATGGCCTCCTGTGAGTTTTCTCGCTACAGTGAAAAAGTCCTTTCAACTCATGTTCTTTTCTTCTGTACTACCAAAAGGAAATGAATACTGTCCACAGAACAAGTCCCATAGCCACTTATATACTAGAAGCATTAAATGCACAGGGA